ATGAAACTGGAGATTGCCTTTTCCATCTCAATGAAGAATGGGATTGGTATTTGTATTGGTATTGCATTGAACGTGTAAATTGCATTTGGTAGTACTGTTATTTTAACGATATTGAGTCTTCCTATCCATGAGCAAGGTATATTTCTTCCATCTCTCCAGGTCTCTTTTTTTTTAATTGTTGTAAAGTTTTGTAATTTTCTTTGAATAGATCCTTTGTGCTTCTGGCTAGATTTACTCTCAAGTATTTAACCTTGTAATTAGCTATTGTGAAGGCTATTGTTTTTCTTAGTTCCAGCTCTATAGTCTCTTTGTCAATGTAGAGAAATCCAACTGATTGTTGTATGTTGATCTTGTATCTTGCCACTTTGCTGAATTGGTCAACTACGTCCAGTAGTTTTTTTCCTGAATCTTTAGGGTTTTCTAAGTATACTATCATATCATCTGCATAGAGAGAAAATTTTACCTCGTCTTTGCTAATCTGGATACCTCTTATTTCCTTCTCTTGTCTTATTGCTATCACTAAGACTTCCAACACATTGAAATAACAGAGGCGATAGTGGGCATCCTTGCCTAGTTCCTGTTCTTAAAGGGAATGCCTTTAACCTCTCTCTATTGAGAACAATGTTGGCTCTCAGGTTTGCATATATACTTTTTACTATGTTGAAGAAATTCCTCTCTAATCCTATTTTGTGGAGTGTTTTAATCAGCAAAGGGTGTTGGATTTTGTCAAAAGCCTTTTTTGCATCGATTGATAGGCTCATGTATTTCTTGTTCTTTGCTCTGTTTATATGATGAATTACATTGATTGTCTTTCTTATGTTGAACCATCCTTGCATACCTATTATGAATCCCACTTGGTCATGGTGAATTATTTTTTTAATGTATTGTTGGATTCTATTGGCCGGGATTTTATTCAGGATTTTTGCATCTATGTTCATAAGAGATACTGGCTTATAGTTTTCTATTTTGGTGGTGTTCTTTCCTAGCTTTGGTATCAAGGATATGTTTGCTTCACAGAATGAGTCTGGGAGAATTCCATCTTTTTCTATCTTCTAAAATAGTTTATGTAGAATTTGGTGACAGTTCTTCTCTGAATATTTGATAAAATTCACTTCTAAAACTATCTGGTTCAGGGATTTTTTTTTGGCAGGAAGTTGTTTTATTACCTTTTCAATGCAGCCTTCGTTGTGGACTCCTGTCATGACAATACTACCTAATCACATATCCCTTTTGAACAGTTCTCATGCTCATCTGTTTCAGTGCAGTATACATAATTTATTTCATCTTTCTCAGTCTCCCCCCAAAACCAACGTCAGTCCCATTTTACAGTATCGGAACTATGCAGTATTTGTCCTTTTGTGACTGAGATATTTCCATCAGCATAATGTTCTCTAGGGTCACCCATTTTGTGTATTTCATGAGTTCCTTTTTTTTTCAATGCAGCGTAGTATTCCACAGCTTCTCTGTCCATTTGTTTGTTGATGGGCATTTAGGTTGTTTTCAACCCTTTGCTATTGTTAACAAAGTGACGATAAACATGGGTGTGCCTATATCTGCTTGGGTGGCAGTTATGGTTTCTATAGGGTAAATTCCCAGTAGTGGAATTGATGAGTCAAATGGTATTTCTATTTCCAACTTTTTGAAAAAGCACCATACAGCCTTCCATAGTGGTTGCACCATTTTACACTCACACCAACAGTGAACAAGGATTCCAGTTTCTCCACAACCTCACCAGCATGTTGTTGTTTGCTGTTCTGTTAAATT